TTCTATATATATGTATATAAATATATATATCTCTTTCTCAGATATCGGTAGCAACAATACTCAACGACTCATCTGCAACCCGGTTTGCAGATAGAAATGTCGTTTTTAGTAGCAGTCTGGACAAGTGGTACTTTTTTTGTATCATTATTTGTTTTCGCAGCTAGCATATCCAAACCTCAGTACCCAACTGCTTGTCTATCCACGGTTCGCAGATGAGAACATCGTCATCAGTAGCAGTGAAGACAAAGAAGTGCGTCTGTGGGACATCCGCTCAGGTGCAGCCGCACACGTGCGCACGTTCGACGCGCCCGTCACCTCGATGCAGGCCACCTCGGATGGCGAACACCTCGTGGTCACACACGGACACAAGGTATACACAGCTTCTCATTTTAACATAGACAATTAGTATGTACGTGCAAAGAGTACATTTTTGTTGTTACCCTGGATAAATTCGACATGCATGTGTATAGGCTTACATACGCAATGCACAAGTATATATATACTAATTTGCACTATCCTTATGCGCTGCTTCTTCATCACCTTTCAAGGTGGATCTTATCAACTCATCCACGCTGGATAGTGTGAAGTCCTTCGAAGTGGGATGCCCAATCAATTCGGCCTCTCTAAATCCAGACAAGACCCGGTTAGTGTGCGGAGGCGAGGATTTTTACCTACACGTCATCGACTACGAAACGCAGAAGGAACTAGGTACATGATTCATATTCTTATATACACACATATATATATAAGTATATATATATATATATATATATATAAAGATCATTCAAGTGCAATGTATGCAAAATTGCGTATTTACGTTGGTTGTCGCGCTTGGGTTGGTATGCTGCAGTTGGTAGACTCAGAAGGGTTGTTTGGTGTGTTTCGGCTGTTAAATCGTTGACCGATTAGAAACTATCTGTCTGATATCTTCCAAGTGTATCATATCCAGTCTATTTTATGTCACCATGCACACTCACAGTACCGACATTTTTCCTTGCTTGCTACACACATATACTCTGTACCTGACCGTTCTTGCAATCGGCAATTTCAAGATTCCACCACTCACGCCTGTGAAAGATAATGCAGAGTACCACATTGTTACCCATCCACGCTGAGTACTGATAGCAGTATATTTCTTTCTACTTTTTGAAATTAGATGTGTACAAGGGCCATCACGGACCAGTGCACGTTGTGAGGTACTCTCCCGACGGTATGCTGTACGCTTCCGGATCTGAAGATGGTACCATTCGCCTCTGGCAGCACGAAGTGGGAGTGGAATACGGTCTGTGGTAAGTGGAGTGCCTCTGCCTATAGAGGTTTTCAGGCTTAGTTCTTTATACACACACAAGATAGTTTATAGGTCCTTATATGTCTGTAGAAAAAGGTTGCCAGTCACTGTCAAAACCCTAGCCTATTAATATTTGTATGAATGCTTCAGGTTGGTCTAAGTTTACTATGGATATTGCGTGTTTGTCGCCGTAAATTTAATGACCCGGGATTATTTTGCTTATGCTTGTATCTGGATTTTTAGCGCCATGTGCTATCGCTGGGAAGGGCTTTGCGTGCTCTCGATACATGTCGTTTGCTATTGCTTGCGTGTTTCTTCGTTGGTGCCTGTGCTGTCATTTGCTATCGCTTGGACGGGCTTTGCGTGCACTGGGTACAGATCGTTTGCTATTGCTTGCGTGTTTCTTCGTTGGTGCCTGTGCTGTCATTTGCTATCGCTCGGACGAGCTTTGCGTTCACTCGGTACATATCGCTTGCTATTGGTTGCGTGTTTCTTCGTTGGTGCCTGTGCTGTCATTTGTTATTGCTTGTGTAGCCCTTTGTGATTAATTGGTCAAGCCTTTTTCACTACTTGGCTTTTTTGTTGTTAGTGCTAGGACGCCCCAATTGTTATTGCTTTGTTGTACCCCATCTGCCATCCCCAAAAATGGCTACCTATTGGTAGTGCATACATTGAGAGCTCATCTGACGTTCATTTGGCTGCCTAACTCCTGGAATTTTAGTTGCGAGCACTAAACTTGCCACTATTTGTGACACGTTCCCCAATTACAGGAAGAACCTCAAGGCCAGCGAATGATCAATCCACATACCTTAAGGACGAAAATTTCAGTGTCAAAGCTGCCCAGTGGTCTTAGCGTCGAGTGCCTTTGCACTGATAGCGCAGGTGATGTGAATTACATGGTATGGTTCCTGGAAACAAGCGTTTCCAGAGAGGCCGAGTGCAAACGATTGCAGTATATTGCTGGGTCTCCAATGGAGTCCACAAAATGGATACGAGGTCGACATGGGTTTGTTCACTCGTGCGATGAAGCATGAGTATGTGAGGCGATGCATCTGCACGGTGTTTTTACACGTGTTTAAATACGGATATTCTGGCAATCCTTCAATCAGTCCGTGTATATCACTTAGGTCTGTGAGCAGTTATTTTAGCAAACGTGGGCCGTACGCAAAACCTCGCATATCTTAGGTAGTTCCAGTGTAGGCGTGCACATGTTGGGACTATTGTGGTGGCATCATGTGATGATTTGGTGGTGTGGTGTGATGCAGTGAAAGTAAAGCGGGGGTTTCGGCTGCCAAGCTTCGAGATGGCTGGTATAGGATACATTAGTGAACATACATAGCAGCCGTAAGCAGTTTAGTGTCAGACGATACTAGCTAGCCCAGGTCTCGTTTAGACTTCCATGGGGTTAGCTTACGGGGAATTAGGCAGACGGTAGACCCAGTGTACACCACAGGCCGTGAAATCACGTGCAGCTTGTCGTGCCAAGGTTATTGGCCTACCTCTTTGAGCACTTGAGTACCGTGGATGTTTGCACTGTTTGCCTTACACGATTTTAAAGTAACTGTGACATTCAATTGGTGGTACGAAATTGGGTAGTGACTTGAGAGTTAGATCATCGAACTGAAGCATTCAGCTGGATGTTGCCATGCAAGGTTCATATGGGGATTTAGTGCGCTAGAGGGCTGAAAGCTGAGCTTGACTTAGTTAATTAGATGTGGAGAATACTCTTCTCGACAGGGAATAGTATCATAAAACCGTACGAGTTTGCGACACGAGTATTGAGCCTAAGTACCACCAAATATTTTTCGAATCATTCTGCGTTTGCTGCATGTACGTGTACATATGTGCTTTCGAGCTTTGCATGGTTGGACTATAATATACCTAATATGGTTTTATATATATACAAATATATAATATATTATTTCATTTTAATTTATTTTATATATATTATATGATATAATATTATATTATACTATATTATATATATATATATATATATATATATATACATATATATATATATATATATATATATATCTATATATATATATATATATATATACCATATATACATATAAATAGTATATATATATGTGTATATGTATATAAGTATATATATATATATGTATATATATATATATATATATTAAAGCTGTGTGAATTTCGTGGAAATAAATACTTTTACTTTATACACATAACATATCAGGTATTGTTTTATTCGTCCTCGATTTGTGACTTGTGACTCCCGGTTGTCTGTTCTGTGTTCACTGTTCACAGTTGTGACCGGCATTTTGAAATTTGAACCCGTCAAATAAGAACAGAATTTTGGCGATTTGAATCATTTGATAGAAAAATATAAAATATATATCTACTACATAATCAGTTAATCACGGCCCTCACGAGTCTGGGCTCTGGAGACTGGACATTGAATAGAATAAGACATCGGGTCGCACACCAGCATTTTTACTTTATCAAAAGACAATTTTCGCTGAGACACAGACTTCAAGAATTGCCTGTCCGATAGTGTTTTATGACCGCAGCATCTCACATTGACGTGATGATCTGTCATCTCTCTAGTTTTTAAAATTATGTATCTCTCTATACTAGAGAGAGAGAATTATCGAAGAGAGTATGTATGTTATATGTAAAGTCTAGACTCTAGACTTTAAATTAAAAAGACTTGTCTCTCTGGAGACTCAGAGAGAGAGACTCTACATAAATTCTTAGTTTGTAGTCTTATTAAGATCAAACAATTAGTTACAAGTCCCGTTAATATCCTCTCTGCGACTGTAAATTGCAGATAGGAGAACTATCTAACCGCTTGAGATTCGTAACCGAGTCCCAACGCCTGACAAGGAGTGGTATGAATATCTGCTAACTGATGTGTAGACTGCTTGTATCGTATAACATGTATGTTTCTTAATAGCTCTCAGATCATGCTAAAAGCTTCAAAGGGTATACTAGAGGGCAGGCATGTGAAAATGTATGACAATACGGAATGCTCGAGTAAATATATCAAACATGTAAATTGTAATATGGTACATATTTCGGATTTCCTCATAAAAATATTTTGCATACATATGTATGAGTATCTCTCTGGAATTTGGATTGTAAGTCTCCGCCTCTCCGGGGAGAAAGTCATTTTTCGAGAGACTTTACCATAAGGCAAATGTATACAACTATACATACATATCCAGATTCGGGATTCCACTGTTCCAGAGGGCAATGAAACTGAAAGGTATAACTCTAGTTTCTAGAGTACTCTACCACTCGGAAAGTCACAGATAATGAGTTGATTTGCATACGTCACACATTATTAGTATTTTTTTTTGCTAATCATATGATATCAGGATGTACTCATGAGTCTCATTGGTGCCTCACTAATATTTCGAGGTGAGTGGTTGATTGGTTGTTGCTGTAGCCTGAAGTCCTGAACAGTGAACAGCATATGTATCAACTCAATTAGATCAATTCTTCCCAAACTGTGTATACTGTATTTTAAACAAAAACACTTGGAAGTCTTGAACACAGGGCACTTTGCATCACATCTGAACATACAAGTGTAATTAAATATTCCAAATGCAGGTCTATGGAGTGTGATCGATACTATTCCAATCCGAAGCCAGCCGCTACTGACACTATAGAAAACACTATGCGGCCCAATAGAGCGCTGGCGAGGCGGTGCACGGAGAATAATGTGGCCAACAAGAACCAACAAAGAAACAAAAAGAAAATTGATCACCGAATTGTACGCTTTCCGAATATATCGCAACAAATATGACTACCCAGATAATCCGATAAAGAATACAATACTATTGGTGCCCATAAGATCTACAATTTTCTACACCCACTTCAAATTCTTTCAAAACAATCAATAACGAGTTTACCCCCTTTTCAGCTTAGCATCCGACACAACTTTGACATCGCCTACTGCAATGACAACAATAACCTAAGCAAATACCAATCAAACATCATTTTTCCCACTTCGTGTAATAAACCGACTGTATTCTTTTCTAGTTGCAGAGTTTGATCGTCAACCATGCCAAACAATTATGAAGTCATTTATAAACATTATCCATAGGTCTGAGTTCGTTGCACTGAGATATAACTATATACACGATATTGATTTTACAGTAGATGGTAAAGCTATACGCATCATCTCTTGGTACCATGACACTTCCTACTTCAGTAGCAGTAAACTGTAAGTGATGCGGATAATGTATTATACAACGAGAATATGGCGAAGCTGACGTGTGCAGACCATTACTGGTGCTTCATACCGTATATCGAACATGATATTGATAATGAAGTGACAAGACTCCGATTATGTGCCAACTTTTAGTCAAAAAAATAACCGACTAGATCTCGGTTTTTACAGACAAAATGTCAAGTGGGGTGTAGTGATTAGAATAATTTGATAACAAAAATCGCACTCGATTATAGGAAACTGCCTCTTGAAGCTGCTCCTACACTCTATCTTGGATCTTATAGTAAATCTATACGATTTAAAGCGAAACACTATTGACTCGCCAAACCTGAAAATTGAATCACACAATTCACCCACATGAGATATTCACGAGTACAATTTTTATAAAACGTAATTTGATCAGGCATTGCCAGTATCAAGGCCCTCATCGTTACGGCCAGCCATCTACAGGCTGAAGTGACGCAAAAGCCTGTTTTCCAATCCTAGATTGAAATGAGACATAAAAGTACGGGACGATTCTTCAGGGAGTATTTACTTACCACCACGGCAGCCTGAGCAATAAATGTCACGCAACTTCAAGATTACTCTACAGCCTATTATTTGATTTCTTTGATTTTTTTTTCAGTTTCCTTAGTGCGGGGGCGATATTGTGATTGAACGACAGCCATTCTCCAAGGAAACCACAATGATGCATCATGACACTACTAGAATACATACTGTAAATTTCTTTGGTCTGGTATGTAGTCTATACACAAAGCTCAATTCTACAAACAGTCACTATTTAATAACTTTCAAATACAAGAGTATTAGTGCAGCTAAATTGAACAAAATACATATGTATTAATGAATGTTTAATATGTTCTGTTCTGCCACCTTTTGGTGGTGCTCTTGATATGTTTACTGTCGAGCCTCTGCCTCTTCAGGCGCGTCAATCAAACTTCAATATCTACAGATACCTGCACCTGAAGTTGGCGAGTAATCTCGCCTTTGTCAGACCCCTCTACAGTAAAGACACATACCCCAGACTTATATATCTTGAACGTAGGTATTAAGTCCACCCCTTCAACTTGCGATAGTATACTGAGTTTATCGGTATCAATCTTGTAAAATTTGATACCCTCAGGTGAGTATGTTGAGCTTAGCTGTGCATATTCAGGCACAGCTCGTGCACAAGGCACGCACCATTCCGCATAAAATTCGACGATGATAATCTTCGCATTCGTAAGCGCGGCCTGAAATTCTTTTTCTTCATTAATACTTTCAACACAACCAAAGTCAACAACTGGGTACGGGCCACGGGTGTATTCATTGTAAGCCAATGCAGTCATATATGAATATATGGGATGCTCCCATATAAAATTAGTTCCAGCCCTAGCGATGGACGAAGTTGCAGGCGTTGTTTTAATAATCGATATTCCAAGTTTTTGTGGTCTGAGATTTACATTTGTGATTCGGAATTCCGTACTATATATACCTTCACTCTAGTGTTGGTTCGACCCTGTACGCACAGTGACGGCACACAGGTCACAGACACAGTATACAGTGCAAAATCCGGCATATGACCATATATGTTCATACACGTCGGCAATGTCTCATACGCTCAACAGTCAAAACTCAAGTGTTTCAGAATGAAGTCTCAGAATGAAGTCATCCGAAATGGCAAAATCCAGACAATTTTTATAAATAAAAGAAAACAATAAACTGAACACAAAATACTTTTTTTTTAAAAAGAGTAAGACTCATACTGCCATGAACTTTTGAGTTGATATGACTTTTATGAGTTATGAGATATGACAGAGTAAATAGCTTGAACATTGGAGTATTGTCTCCTCTTTGAGCGGAAGTATAAATGAATATTGTATATCAATAGGTACAATGGACTTTATTAGATATTAAGCACTGCTTAGCCCGAAATTCGGGGCCTCTGGAGACTAGATCACTTCTATCAAGTTCTATACACAAATATGTAAATAACTAATACTGTCAGTTGTCACAGAGGCAGAATTCAGAATTAAGAATAATATAGCTATATTTTGAGATCTGAAACTGGGTCAATATGAAGTTGTAGAGATTACAACTTGAGTTCGAGAGGATGAATACTTGCGAAGCATCAAATTCAACGGTCGTTTCATTTAACCGGACTCGATAGTTTACGTACATACATAAAAGCAATATTAAATCATGTTTTCATACAATCAAGTGCACTTGGTACAGGCAGCAACATCAGCAACATGTAAATTTCTGAGCATGCCATCTCAACCTTTGTTGTATAACCATGCAACTTTCAACCCTGACGATTTAAGTGTCAAAAAACAACACAAATGCAGGTTCAGATAGTGTGATCGATATTATTCATCAGAAGACACCCGCCGCCGACACTACAGAAAACACCATGCGGCCCAATGGAGCACTGTGAGACGGTGTAAGGAGAACACTGCTGTCAAAATGGAGCAAGAAAGGAAATCAATGGAGATTAATCGGGTTATGAGAAACTCAAATATATCACAAGTTCGACTTCTTCCCAGGCAGGACTTATACGAGCGACCTCATAGACAACACTCGATGCCAATACTGCCCATGACAACTTCGACGGATTTTTCAACACTCTCGCCACGTCCACTTCATTTAGCGCGTGCGGCTAGTGTCTCATCAATTACGAGCCCCTCAACCCAATCAATGACGATTCTACCCCCTTTACCTAATTTCCCGTCCCCGTGCCTCACGGCTCGATCTGCGACGAACTTTTTTTCCCTTGCCCGGTTTAGGACCCAAAATAACCTCGATATCAGACTATGAAATGACCAACAATAATCCAAATATTACGCACACTTTTTCTACCGAACCCGACTATTTGCTTTTAGAATTAGAGAGATTAGTCGACATGTATGCCAAATAAATATGAAATTGCTTTCATCTACCCATCACTTCGCCTTCATCGCACTGAGAATTGAGAGACAACGGTTTCGCAGTTGAAGGTGGAGTTATATATAGGAGCACACTGTTCCTCTATTTCGATATCAAATACATGATCTTGGCGCTTGATACTGTAGAGAAGTTTCAAGTTGAAAATCAAATTGTTTCTGTATTCTACTACTAGCGATATGGTGATAGTGACGCGTTCAATTTCAATCCAGCACAGGTGTTTTCATAGGACACTGCGCATCAGTTTGCTAGTGAAGTGGAAAAACTTCGATGTATACAGTGTTGACGTAAATTTCGCCGCACTGTCCAATGATAGTTGGTTATTACCTTACTATATCTCGTTCTAACCTTGGACTGAGACCACACTCTCAAGCCAACCATACAAGATCAAGCTAGCATGACAATTTACCTAACCAGTCAAACAAACCGGGATTCACGTGTTTACAGTGAATACTGACTTATTGGCCGGACAGTTCAGAAATAGTCCGTTGTTCACATCAAAACGTATTTGTTCAGTTGTGACATATATACATATATATATATAGAAATATATATATATATATATATATATATATATATATATATATATATATATATATATATATATATATATATATATAGATATATAGATATATATATGTATATATGTATATATATGTATATATATATATATAAATATGAATAATTATTCATAAATATAAATATAATTATAAAGGTCCATATGTATATATATATATATATATATATATATATATATATATATATATATATATATATACATATATATATATACTTTTATATATATATATATATATATATATTAACACATACATACATATATATGTATATATATATAGAATATATATATGTATATATATATATATATATACACTGGATATATATACATATATATTAATATATATAGAGTGAATATACATACATACTCTCTCTCTCTCTCTCTCACACACACACATATATATAGTATCTATATACCGATTAATACATATATACACAAATAATAATATATATATATATATATATATATATACAAATACACAAATATATATATATATATACACATATAAATACATGAACATAAATATGTATACACACACACATACATACATATATAAATATATATATATAGTTCTATATATAGATATGAATATATAATTAGACATACATTTGCACATAAACAAACATATATATATATATATATACATGCATATGTTTATACTATTTATACATACATACAAACATATATATATATCTATCTATAAAAATGTATGCATTTATATATATTGTATATATACATATCTATATATATATATATATTATAAATACATATACATTTATAATTATATACATATATATGTTATGCTTTTATATTATATATATACATATACATACACACACACACATTTATTTATATATATATATAAATACAAATATATATATATACATATAATTGTACATATATACATATATACATATGTATAATATGTACTTAAAATTTATAATAAGAGACGGCACACACACACACAATAAATATATATATATTCAATAAATGTATATATATATATATATCATAATNTATATA